ACTTCTTCTCCAAGCCCAGCTTATCTGCTTGGTTTGCGTTTGTGTCAGACATTTTATGCGATTTTTCGCGATTTGATCCTCCATTATCTCAATCAATCCTGCGCTTGTACACACCTCCATACAATTAAGAATCTCTGTCAGAGCCTATTCTCTCAAGTGGAGGATGGGCGAAAAAGGGGAAGAGCTCGAGACCCACATCAACCTTTCTGTTATCTTATTCTTAATCCGTTTGGGCAGATGTAAGAAATCGCTACGCAAACAGAGGTCACGAACCCCAGCTCATGTTACTAAAAAGATACGTTCAAAATTTCTCTATCTGTCTATTATCTTTCATTACGGACAGAAACAGGACAAGGGCACAGCCTACTTCTGTATATAAACAAAATCTGGATTTCGAAAGAATTCTCAATGATTTGAACTTCATTTCAGACAAAAAGTTGATTAAAGAAGTTCGAGACATTTAAGATCAGAGCAATGCATAAAGATAACCTAACACTTGCCTATGGATGTTCCTAATTTTGGAATTTTCCTATTTTATTTCTAGATCAGGGTGTTACGTTGTTTTACACTTATGTGGTAAGGTCTGTGTGGATAGGTGGGAAGACATGTCGACTCAGCCAGAAAAGACAATCAAAACAAAAAACTGGTCTTTATCGCATTACTAAATCTACTATGAAGTTTAAAAAAAGATAAGCTTCCATTTCTGGATATCTTAGTTAGCAAAGAGATATTAAGTTAGAGAGATAAGTGTATAGGAAACCGGAAAACGTGAAATTGCTTACAAACTTCCTGTCTAGTTATATATATGTGTGTGTTCCAAGTGGGAAAACCGACGTAAATCACCAGGACCAAGAACTATGTAGATTAAAGGATATAATCGTTTAAAATAAGTATCCACTAAGATTAACGGCTAATTACGCTGAAGTAAGTAAAATTTCTATTTATGGAAGAATATGCGGTTCCTATATGGCAACTATGGTTAGTTCCTGATTTTGCTGTGTTGTGAACGTGTTAAAAATATAGATAAAATACCTGAGAAGTGGAATATAAGGCCAATTTATAGGGAGAAATAACATTTTAATCTGTCGCAGATTCTTTTCGATAATTCTTGAAACCATTTTCTAGAACGTAGTGATATAAGATTTTGAACAATATCTTTATGGCAATTTCTATGTGAATGAGGCGCGACTTCCATTATGAAGGTTGAATGGACAAAAACCCCCAATGTGCTGGAAAGGATACGTGATACCATGATCCGAAACACAACGTCTTGCAAATAGGGAAGCAATTCAACTACCAGTTCTTCATCTCCTTAAATTAAATAGTGTAAACACAGCACGTGTGTAGTTTATAACAATGAGGCTAGAAATTTAAGCTAGAAATAGTATGGGAAAATCTCAATAAATTTGGTCCTTGTGTTAAGCAAAAAGTAGAATCTAAGGAAACTGCACTGCAAAAATATTGTGAAACTATTTGCCCTTAGTATTTACACTCGCCTGTGATACTTTACAGTTTAACTTGCTCCAACTCATCTTCGGCTATTTACCCTAGTAATCAAGGTGCTGTATAGGTGCTTTTATATTGGGCCATGTAAAAAAGAATGCCTACCCAAGATGACATATGGCGAAATATTGTATTTTATCTTCAGAGTAAATCATTTGGCTTTAATACGATGTTCAGGTTGATACAGTCCAATAAAAATACCCCGTCA